TATATTTGCTCACTTTCATACAGCCAGTATTCGATAAAGTGTTTTTCTTACATTAAATAAATGTAGAAACATAGATAGTAGTTTCACCAAAATGTACTAAATGTACATACAGTAGTATAATAAAAGTGCTGCATCTTTATGTACATCATTATCTTATTATTATTCCTGATGCATTCATATGCAAAATGTGAATGTGTTAATGTCAACAATATACCACTGTATATAACCAATAACAATGCATCACATTTTATAAAATGAACATTTTCTCTGTAAAATCTTAATCTGCAAAGTCTCTACGAACTACAGTTGTTAAATAAATGTCACAGAATAAAAGGACCATATTTCTAGAGGTGAAACGATTAGTCCAATGATTGATGAATGGATAATGTATTGATCAGCAACTATTTTAATTATTGATTGCCAAACATTTGCGGGTTCGAGCTTCTGAAATGTGCTTATCTAATGCTTTTCTTTAGATTAGATTAGATTAGATTAGATTCAACTTTATTGTCATTGCACAGAGTACACGTACTAAGACAACGAAATGCAGTTAGTATCTAACCAGAAGTGCAAAAGAGCAGTTAAAGTGCAAGTGTGTGCTGTACAGGTATGTAAAGTGAGGGTTTGCATAAGTAAAGTGGAGATGTGCATATGTAGGGTACAATAAATTACACTGTGAATTACAATGAATTACAATGATGAGGTAGCGAATTACAATGATGAGGTAGCGGGAATAAATACAGTGAGTGCTAGACAATGAGTAGAGACGGTTCAGAACAGTTCAGTGCAAGGTTATTATATTGTAGAGCAAATGTCTTTGGGTTTTGGAGCACTGGTGAGACAAAACAACCTTTGAAGATGTCCCCTTGGAGTCTGGAACTACGACAGCCATTTTCATAATATTTTGGATGTGTTATAGACAAAAATATATATATTATATGAAATATATTACAGACAAAAGAACTAGATTTCAATCTCCAATGTAGTGAAGTAGAAGTATGGAGTAACATAAATGGAAATACTCAACTGCACTACCATAAATTTTACTTATGCACAGGACTTGAGTAAACATACTTTGTTACTTTTGCACAACTGCCAACACCCTATAACATAAAAGGGTGTCAGTTAATCCATCTCTGACTGGAAACACAAGAGGATCCAGATCCGTTCCCTGAGGGACTCCTACAGCCCTGACAATACTTTCACAACTCCCTGACAGAAAAGTTGCATCAACATCACAAGGTGGTTCAAGTGTAGGCCATCAGAGGCTACATGTGCACTCAGCTGGCTGTGAACACACACTGTCGTATGACTAATCTGAATGGTTTCTTTGATTGGGTGAGTTTACACAAGGTTCAAGCGTGTTTTCAACACTATGTGGCTTTCAGATTATAAAACAACTCCTTTGAATCTTCTGTATTTTCAAATAAAAGCCCATTTTATATAAAAGTCTGTTTGTGATCAACAATGGGATTATTGTTTTGCACATGACTTTCTTTGGGGATGCATTAAAAACAGAGAAAATTCACATGGATTTGTATCTTTTCACAGCACTTCAAGAATTAGATGCATCAGTTTAAACACCGGACCTGTTGGAGATTAGATGTCTTGCTCATGGGCAATTAAATGCTATTTACAAAATAGTTAAGCCAGTAACTTTCTGTTTCACAGACTCACCTTTAGCAGCTATCATAAACTTAAGATATAGGTGCCTTTCCTGTTTTTCACTTACTTTAACTCGCAAACAATTTGATGGACGCAATTTAGTAAGACACTTTTTTAAATGTCATGGTTGCAGATATTTATAGCATTAATGGCATCAGTGGGAATTGGATGTACCAAGCTCCAAGTTACACAAGCACAAGTTGTGTGGTGTACTTTTTTTTCAGTTTGAACTGGGGTGCATCAATAATACAGAGAATGGACAAAAAAGGCCTTTGGGATGTTGGCAGGCCTTGAAAAGTTCTCGAAATAATTACGTTATTGAAATGTAATCCTGGACAAGACACTGGACAACCTTCAAAACAAGCCAACTAAAGCATTTAGCATTTCCGCAGCTGCAGATAACGGTGTTGAAACACTCTATTCAGGGAAACTAGATAACACACAATGGGACCAGCATGATATCTGCATACAGTGCTTTTACAAATCGGAGATACACACACAACAGATTAAATCACAACACACATTAACACAAATGCGCTCACACAGAGAAACTATGCACATCCGGCCTCCGCAGGGCCTCAATTACATAACACAAAGAGACACATTCCAAGATCGGAGGAGCAGCTGAACACTCAGAGCAGGCATGTCGCCTGACACACTGAATCAGCTGTGATTGTGAAAGAAATTGTGTATAACCACAATACTGAGGCTTTAAACTTGTAATGCCATCATGATTAGATATGTAGTCACACATCCCTTCACAGTGACTGGTGACGCAAGCAGAATATAGCAGAACATATCAAAGTGACAACACAAGGGTGCCTAATACAGTGATAAGATTCTGCTGCTATAAACAGAGCTGCTTTCCGTCAGCCTGAAAATAAATCAACAACAACTTTTAGTGTTTAATTCATTTGTGAGGCAAACACGCAAACATTCACTGGCTTCAATTCTCAGTTGTGATGTTCTGCTGCTTTGGGTTTTGGATGGTTTGATAAAAGGAAGGATTGTGAAGATACAAAGTGGAAATCTGATCATTTATGATAGGTATTTTTCACAATTTTGAGAAAATACTCAGGTAAATCAAAATGGTAGTGCACTCTAGTTTGGAGGTTGGTGTGATTGGAGGTACTATTGTGACCTTAAACGTTGCTCTAAGCCTGTCGATTTTCAAATCTCTCCCTCAAATCTCTCTTGATCTCTTGAGTTCAATTAATTTTTGCTGGATTGCGGCAGAATGGAGGGATGGATTTGAGAAAAGGTTTTTGACAACATAACACAGCAGCAGGCATTGTAATATTTGTTAATCATTATTCAGGATTTATCTCTTTCAGTGGACCATATCAGTATATTTGTATTGTCTCTGAACCAACTGCAAACCTGAAACATTCCAGGTGGATAAACAGGGGGGAAAAAAACCTACTTTGCTACAACTGCTGGTGCTACCCAAGACTTTTACTTTTTATTGTTACTGCAACTACTGCTAAAACCATCAACATTTAATATACCAACAAATAAAGGATCTTTAGTACTATTTTTCCTAGTGTGCACACTATCTGCATCCGAGGGATTCTATGAGGAGTAGGAACTGGCTGATAATTACACTGCAGAAGTGAGGTGTAAGAATGTTGACAAGCTAATTTGGTCTGTAAACAAATCTGACTCGGGTTCTGGAGACCAGCGAACAAGGCAGAATAAAATAATTTACATAATTGGAAGATAATGCATTGACCTCTCTCCCCCCGCTGTCCTCCTGAGATTATCCATAATGTGTCTCAGAGTCACTTAAGTAAGAAGACCACCTACTACATTAACTGACATGTTGCACCATTGTAATTTCTTTATGTCTAATGTCAAATACAATTGAAAATCAACAACATAAAAATAAATAACTGTAGCAGCCAGATAATACTTATGAGAGATACAATAGAAATCAAAAGGAAACAACCAAGTCCCCATAAAAACACCCCTAAATGCAAAAGATGTCACTGAGAGATCACACAGTAAGTCCCTACAGGAATATTACACACTCATATTGATGATTTACACTCAATATACATTTAATATCAATATTACTCGAAAAGGCAAAACTTACAGGTTAATGTTGCCGACTTGGCCCAAGGTTATAATCATCATCAGTGGATTAAACTGCATCCCCACCATATTGCAATGGACCTCAAGACACGAAGTAGCATAAAACAACCAGTATACATTAGGAAGTCCAGTCAGACAGCCTTCAAAATAAAAGCCTGGGAGTATGCACTAGGGCCAAATCAATATCCATAAGCAGAGCAACAACTACCTTTTGAAAAGACTGACTAAATCAGACCGTTAAATTGTATCCAACATAACAAACTGGATTTATAAGATAATATGGACTATATTGAATTATATTTCATAAGTGTCTTGATGAGAAATTTAATCATAGCATTTAATAAGTTGCCCTTTCATGACTCCCCCCTCCATTATACAGCCTAGGTCTTGGTTTCAATTACTTCTGATTGCTTTACTTTATTTACATTTAACCCATTTTAGCTGTTACACAGAATAAGATGTTTAGGATTATTATTATTGTTAGGATTATATACAAAGTTTAGTGTGTGTATCAATGTTGTTTATAACTGTTTCCTGTTACCCTTCTCTATTTCTTGTTTTTGTTTGTTTCTGTTCCTGATAACTATACAAAATATATGTAATTGATTAGTTTTTAATTACTACCCCAGCTTTTATTTTGTATAGTTTAAGCGGAAGTCCCGTTTATTTATTTTTTCGATCTTAACACTGGTTGTGTACCGCTGTTGTCTCAGTAATGTGGGATCAATATGGTGATTACCGGGGTGCAGGCCGCTGTTGTGGCAATGTCGAACCAGTTCAGTTCGTCATGAACGAAAAGTGTCTGTTTATTACTGTCCAGTAATGTTTAATAATCAAGAATTCACGACCGTTTAACCTGCAGACAAACGATGAAACACCGATGATGTGTCAGACCGTTACCCTCCGCTTCCCTGCCTTTGTGCCACTGCGATAAAAAAAAAACAAAAAAAAAATCACATCACGCCACCAGCTAAGCTAGCATCACGTACCCGCTAATTATCACCTCTGAATTAAACGTTATCCGAAAACAACAGCTTGTTTAGAGACAAGGTGGTTAAGAGTGGAAAATACCAGTTGAAAGACGAGGCTGTCGTCCCTGTCGTCATGACCGAGCTAGGCATCATTTTTTCAGCCTCCGACGCGATGCCGCTGAACGGAGCCTTTTTCTCCTTTTCCCTCCGTCTGCTCCCATCCAGCTCTGTCCAAATAACTGCACTGAAATCAACATGTAACACACTCACCTTGTCGCAGGTGGTCGGCAGCCGGTCTGTTTTCGATCAAAAGCATGTGTAGCACTGGATAACAGAGCTGGTGGGCTGCTAGTCCTTGACGTGTGGGAATATTGTTGTCTCTGTGAGACACACTGCGGGGCAGACAGCGGCGGTGCATCGCAGGATGGGATGGGCTGGGCCGGAGCGATACGTCAGCCTGAGGTCACAGCTTGGTCCCAGACTGGATTATCTAACCGTGGGTGGGACGGCTGCCACTCATTATCTTCGGCAGGGATTCAATTTAGCTTCACTGATGACACTACTACTAATAATAATAATAATAAAAAATAATATGAATAATAACTATGTTGTTGCTGGGATTGCTGCTTCTGCACAAATTGAAGCTAAACTGAATATACAATAATATAACAATAAGACAGACTGCATTGCTTTACGAATGGCCTGACATATGCATGAAACTTGAACTGAGATTAAATAAAATATATGAAGGTTGTTTAAAAAAAAAAAAAAAAAAAAAAAAAATCAAGGTATGAAAATCCTTACTTTACCTTTTTAAAATTGAGATTAATTTTCACAGTAAAGTAAGAATATGTAAGAAGAGGCTAAATGACACTGGGTTTGAAACTTTCTGTCTTAGTAACTTCCCTTCCTTATAGTAACTTGCTGTGCAGTGCCAGTGTGCTCACCTGTAGCTGTGTTTTCCCTGCTACCTCCTCTTAGACCTGTCTCATCAGCATCACTGGGCTGACTCAGTTCTGAGTCCCTCTCTCTAAGTGCTGCTGGTAGTCAGCAGTTTCACAGAGCACAATGTGTCATTTAATGAAACCTTTATGTTCCCTGTGGGGAAACTGTATCGTTGCTGCTGCAGTGAAAGGTACAGAACTAACAGTATAACAGATTATTAAAGATTATAGTCGTTACAACAATATCGTAAAGCTAACAAATAAACAGATAACAGGTCAGATTTATCACATGGAATCATACAAGACAGAGTATTTCATATACAGAAATAGGTCTGTTCCAGCTTCTAATCATCTTCAGTCCCAACTAACTGCAACCAATGTTTTCTCTGGAGCCAACAAGCCAGAGAGATGAGTGTTAAAGAAGAGTGTGTTAGGAGTGTTAAACATCCACTACACTCTCAAGCTCTGACCAAATATATTCACTTCTGATGTAAAACAACCTTTAGCATTAAAGCAGTAATTACTTTAACAGAACCGGAATGTGTCGCTTACGATCAGTAACACTGCTGTTGAATCAGATATCTAATAGGGGAAATGGGGAAAATAGGGTTCGAGGGATGTATGTATACTTTAAAAATATTTATTGAATCGTATTTATTTATTTAATTTATTTTTTATTTTTTTTATTTATTTTTTTATTTTATTTTTTTAAATCAGATTAATACTAATTGAATGTGGTAGTAAAGGTGATAAAACGTATGCTGGGGTCTGGCATAAGTAAGTAGGATTTAGATACTGAAATAATCCTTTTGTTGCCTAATACACTGAGCTCCATCTACTGGCTATCTTATGTTATTGCACTTACCAAAGAGCATACTTTGAAACTACACTCTTATGCCAACAGATTATTCCCTGTAGTTATACAAGGTTACTGCTGTAAACATGCACAGTGGAGACCTCATGTGATTTCAGTGGTTGAATAGAAAATGTCCTTTGAGAGTTAAAAGGCTGCATATTCCAGAAGTTCACCCTGAATGAGACGTGTTACAGACGAGTTTAGGAAGGGTCAGGGTTAGACATTGAAGTTAAAGGGCTGTCCTTGTCCCACCTGTACGTGTCTGTAAGGACAGACCCTTTTGCTGAAGGGAGAGTCTGGTCAGCACCTGGAACAGACAAACAGACTGTTTTAGGATTTTCAGCTTTCATTAAAGGATAAATCACAGTACAGATTACAACACACAGCTGGATGTTGGTCTGAGCCATCAACCTTCAAGTTTGTGCATCTGAAAAAAAATTGTGCTTGTGGCAAAGAGATTTGTATTTGTTTAAAAGACTGAATCAAAACTGAACAAATGATCAGTGGTGAGGTTAAACAAAGACAGGGAGGGAAGAAATGCTTTTGTGGATCTGTGTGTGACACTGACAAGTACAAATCCAAATCCACAAATTGATCCTTGTAACGTCAGTGTCACACACTGTGGGAAGTTTTGACCAGAGTTTTACAGTTTCCTGCTGTGTATCGCAACAAAGATGTTGACAAATCCATTTCTTCTTTTACAGTGTCTTTGATTCAGAATTTCAACAAATACAAATCTCTCCAACACGAGCACTATTGTTTTACGTATGCAAACTTGAATTTCTCAAGCAGATTTATTTTACAGGTTTACAAAGGTTGATTTACAACTACAAACACTGGAATCATTTGTGAACATCACTTCACAAGTTCAAAATCATTTTGACCCTAATTTGAGCCTTTATACACATGTGTAGCTACAGCTAACAACAGTTGCATTTTTAAAAACATCTTTTACTAACTAATATACATCTCTCAGCATAAAACAGGCTATGTTAAACCTTACATGGTTGTGGTTTAACTGGTAGTTTACCATTTGTAGAGCTTTGGTCAGTGAAGTGATAAACAGTTGTTACTGAGAAGTTCCTCATTACTCCATCACAATAAGTTCCTTAACAACAAATCAGACACAGTATCCTAATTGTAATATTCAAGCCAAATAAATCACATCCACCTTTTCTGATGCATTCAATACGATGACAACTTAAATGTAATTAACAGAATATCATTTTAACTCATCTTAAACGTTAGACTGATCTGTGTGGAAATGCAACTACAGAAAATACAAACTGCTTTTAACAGAAATGAACAATCATTAACTCATTTTGTAGTTCAATTCAACCTTTTTAAACCTGTGAAATGACCTGTGATTTAGCTACAAGATTTGTACTTGTTCAAGAAGAATATGAATCAAAAGAAATGCTCAGTGGTGAGGTTAAACAAAGCAAGGGAAAGAAGAAATGCTTTTGCGGATGTCTATGTGCAGACACAGCAGAAAACTAAAACTCAGCACGCAACACTCCCAGTGTGTGACACCAACAACTGCAAATTCTGATCCTTGTAACTTCAGTGTGTGGGAACTTTTGGGCACAGCGTTTTACAGTTTTCTTCTCTGTATCAGGACACTGATGTTGACAAAACCATTTCTTTCTTTTACATGTTTTTGTTTAACCTCACCACTGTCCATCATTTGTTCATAGTTTAGATTCAGACTTTAACAAATACAAATCTCTCCTACACGTGCAGAATTTTTCCCATATGCAGAAACTTGAATTTGTCATGCAGATTTTACAGGTTTACAAATGTTGCTTTAAAACTACAAACATTGGAATTATTTGTTGAGGTCACTTTACAAGCTCAGTCATTTTGAGCCTAAAAAAAGATGTATGGGGTGGAGTCAGGCACATGAGTTACCATTTCTTGCTGGTTTCCACAAGGTATGGTTCTGGCCCAAGGTGGCTTCTGCCATCCCTATGAAATCACAAAAGGAAAAAGGACATGTCAGGCAGCTCCTGTTTTGACTGAAATGTTTGAGGCATTCTAAGGACTTCAGAATATAAGACATATCAATCATCCATTTAAACCTCATTTAGCATATACTGTAATAAAAACTTTTTTTATATATATATATATATATATATATAAAAATAAACAAAAACATTAGTGGTGAGGCAACACAGACAGAGGAAGAGCTTTTGTCAACGTCTGTTTACACATGCAAAGCACAAAACTAAAACTTGGTCCTCAAAATTCCTGCAAGTGTGTGACACTGAGTTTACAAGTAGAATTTAAATTCAGGTGTGAAAATAGGATCTGAAGTCTACTTGTAACTTCCATACACTTGCAGATTTATGAAGGCAAAGGGATACTGCAGGACACATGGATGGGCCTTGGCAGGCTATAGCAACATGAGGAAGGGATGATGACATCACCACAAAGGCAGACTCAGAAAATAAGGTTTATTGCCAGGCAGGTTTTCACTTACAAGATGTTTGACTTGGTGTAGTAACTAATTAACTTATTCATAGGATGACAAAATATATAAAATACTGCAACACTCAAATATAAATATATAAAACAATGAAAATGATACCACACAACTATGTACTAAAGTGTTTTAGAATGACAAAACTCCTGCTAGGCAAGATGTGCAAATGATCACAGTATAGACAATGTTATGTACAGGGATAATACCTCAAGGTGTTACTGTAATATGGTTGATAACGGATGAGGCCAGATGCAGAAGAAAAGGCTGGTGCTGGTCCATCATTGGTGATTAGACTGGACTTCTGGTCCTGAGACAGACATGTTATAGGACAATTTCTTCACATCATATAAGTTCTTTATATTCATGTGTGCAATAATCAGGATAGATATGAATATGCAAATATAAATACCGTATGAATATCATGAAATGTAAATGCAAGAAAATTAAGAGTAAACAACCAAGTGTGATAAGAATTCAATGTACACACACTATATAACCAACAAATTGAGTAGTACAAATATGGATATACTGTAAAATACATAAACATATACAGTCATATATTCATTATTAAGAATCAGCAGTATGAACATGTTTACACTGTGGGTCTGATTTAATCAGTGGTATAGACAAGTCTTACTTTTCAAAGTGAATGATAGCATGTTACTCACCTAGACCCTCCTCACTGTCTGGACTCTGCCATTGGTGAGACCGGTGGAGGCGGTATTGCATCTGTACTGGCTCAGGTCCTGAAAAAGACAGGTATGCTGAAATCTCCTGAGAAATGTAAAGACCTAGTGCACTTTCAATCATGGCTGATCTAACAGTAATGTAAAGTGGTTACAACATGGTCTACTGGGTCCATACAATCTCAAGTTACAGTCATCAGTTACAAAATGAGCCTAAAGTTACTGACGTAACTAGCTGTACAACAGCCGAGAGCAACAGACACAATCATAGTAACCGCTAAAACGTCTGTCGACAACGTCAATATCACCACCTGAAATGTTTGTCAGTCGTTGCACTGATTATACTTTTAGCTTCAGAGCCAACATTGACGCTACTCACCAGGCTAACAGGAAAGTTGCGAGCTCAGCATCAAACCGCATCTCTTTACTCTCAGGAGCGGTCTCCAGCGGCGGAAACCCACATCGAGATTTACTCGTGTCGCTTCTTTTCTTTGCCGTTGAACGTGGTTTCTTGTCGGGAGCGGTCCTTCGGGATGCAGATGAATATCGCCTTTTAGGAGGTTCAGCCATTCATGTGTTTCTGTAATGCTAACTTGACGCGCTGCCGGAAGTTGTTCTTCTTCGTGGGACTAAGACCAGACTTGATGCGCCACCGACTCACACAGCGTCTAGCGTCACAAAGTGGTATCACAGGACAGGACAGGTCGGGGCTGGCTGGTGAGCATGCGCATTTCAGTAGATAACTCTGAAATACCAAAGATGGAGGTCTTGATCATGACATCCTCACTGTGGCTTGCTTCACTTTTTTTTTTTTTTTTTTTTAAAAATAAGGTTCTGGCCACATCTTATATTGCACCTTTACAGCACAAGCACCAAACTGACATTTAAAAAGTAAAGCTACATGTTAATTGTCCACATTACAAACCAACTTAGTTTTCACACTTGAATTAAAACAAAGACATTGAGCTTAACTTGACTGATATTGACACATTTGATGCATACAAAACATTTTGATTTACTTTTATGGTATATCAATCTATGCATGGGATATAAAATACAATCATGCTTTCCCTTATGCTTACATAAAATCTGTGATATACAAACATTTATATTTGCCCATTTTGCATTCAGGCCAGTAGATGTTGCACTGTTCACATGAAGCATCAAGATATAAACCCTTTGTGGAACCACTATGCTGAGAAAAGTAAAACCTCCGACGCTGCGGGACTCACGTCCAGTACTAGGCAGTTGATCTCTGCAAGCAAAGAAGAACAGCCCGGGAAATTTTACTCACTAAGTATTTCACTTACTGACCACGGACTGCTCACTGCTGCTATGTTGATTCTGGTGTCCGTATATGTAGTCATGGGCTGTCTTACCAGTCACCGTATTTTGACAGTCTTTATGTTATGACCCAGCTAGGGGAAAAGGGAAGCAACATAAAACCAGGTGTTATTGCTAAATCAAATTTACTGATTTAATTTATTGCGTAACCAGGAGGGTAAATAAGTAAACATAAATATAAACAAGGCAAGAGGATAACTGAAGTAGGGGAACAGGCGCCAACAAAGAGCCTAACTATGAGATTCTAACCAACCCAAAAACGCTAGAATCAGCGCCCCTGTTCCTAATGTGTCCAAAAGTCTTCTTCTAAGGGTGTGATGCGCAATCAGAATTTTAAACCTCGCCCAGTCCCCAACAATCAACACCAGCATCTCAAACCAAATCACAAATTACACACAAATGTTCACAAAGGCGGTACAGAGGCGAGCTGCCTATCATGTCAGCCGCCACTAATGATGTGCGGGCCGGGCTCTTAAACTCTCTTCCTCTGATGCTCAAACGGCAACAGCTGTGGTGAGGGCTGCAGGATCATTGCTGCACCAATAGGAGAAGCCGTGGAGTCGGAGGCTCCTCCTCTCTGCTCCGACAGGGACAGGTAATCCATCAGTTAGTGTTAAAATGCCCGAGCTTTGTGCAGCAACAGGCTGTAATAACAAGAACAACTGTAGAGAGTCTTTGCTCTGCACGGCCGCCTACACCTGCTACCGGACCGCAGCAGGCTCCTGGATACGCGCTACGAAGTCGCTGCTAACACAGTTAGCATTCATAATTCGAGGTAAACTTTATATCTTAGTGTTAAAATAATCTTAGTAGCTAATTGCATACATGTCCACATTTGGTAAATATCACGTATATGAGGAGAAAGCTTGTAATATTAGCTGAAGTTACTGTGTGTAAGCTAACTGTGTGGTGTAACCGCTTGTATTAAAACCATAGACCAAGGGAAAATATGTTATAACGTGTTTTAAAATGAGTTCTGCAAAGTGAAGGTGACGTCACCGAACTTAGTGTTAACAGAGACAGCGGGTTGTCAATGTCGGTAAGTCACGGTCACTAAACGATCCCGTTATTACAGTGAACTGTCGTGTCTGGACGCGCTGTTAAAGAGCAGAGCAGCGGACGTGTGTGTCGTGTTTGTTCATATTAAGTTTGGTTCAGTGTTAGTCGGCTAGTTTTCAGCTCTAGTTCTTTTCATTATTGATGACAGGAGTCAAAACATCTGTTGGACTGATTCTGTCTCTCTGTCAGAATAAAGAACATCACTGAGAGCTGAGAACCATCATGACATGTGCACCTGCACAATGACACCAAACTGAGTATTACTTTCTATTCTATTGTTATTTCATGTAAAACCGTTCAGCAGACTGTTTATTACAACTAAGCTGAGGGAATAATGTATTTTCAGATATCTGTGATCATCTAATCAGAGTGCTGTTTCTTTTGTCTTTTTCTCTATACTCTACAATATGATATTGATATGATTTCTCTCCATTATGTTTTTTTTCTATCCAGGCAAGGTCTGGATCTTTGGGGACACCTACAACCTCTTGCAGCAATGATGGAGGCCCTGCACCACCTCCACCTTGAGGAAGAATATACACAGTCTTCAGTGTATTCAGTGTGACTTGCTGACACCTAGGAACAACTCTACAACCCTACTGAGTTGGCCCCTTGATCCTTTCATCTTCTTCCCTCTTACATCACCGAGGCCTCATCGTCTTAACATCTTACCTGTAGATATGTTGATTCAGTCCAAGGGCTCTTCCTGCCCTACCTGTGGATATGCTGATCCAGCCTAAGAGCCCCTCCTACCCCCTTGATAACTTGAACCTAGGTGTTACATTGCAAGACCTTTAGAGAACGTTACCTTTTGCTTCTAACCTCCTTTCCAACTTGTTATCCTGTCTGACCAAATGTCTGTAACCCCAGGTCTATGCAAATACAATTGTCTATCCCCTTGTCTTCAACTGTATAACTGTCCCCCTGCCCTTCACTCTGGGTCAGTCTACTGCCTCAGACCCGCTCTGTGTCAGTTGGCTCACCGTATCCTGGGATACCAATAAACTTACATCACTACAGCAAACTTGAAACCAAGGACTTGAGTGAATTTTCTTCAACAACCTGCAGTGTCCACACATGAAGATTTTTTCTTCCCAAACATAAACACAGTGTCTTACATGATAATATAGTATTTTTTAATGTAACACTTGTGGCCATAACATTGTTCAGTCTGATCAGCTATGCTCTTCCTTGTTCCCTACACCCTCACTGTCGTATTACACTCTCTGCCCCGTGTCAGACATACAATCACATGACTTTTGGACTCCACTGTAGCTGTAACAAACTGTCAATAGTTTAAAACATTAGAGTTCATATTTCATAGTCCTCAGCCATTATAGTTAATATCAGTGTGCTGTTCCAACAGCATCACTTATTTAGAGGGAGATTGTTACTGGAGCAAATAAATATTAACTGTCTCACACATTAGAACTCATGATGAATAATTATTATACTTGTTAATAAAAATTCTGTTGCACTGTTGATTCACCTACTTCTTTTTATCAAACAAACTTACATATGACAGCGAAATTCAGCTTTAACTTGATCCACAACTATTTATTGATTTTAAATGGTTGATTGTAAATTGTACACCATTTAATTCATCCATTTATTGCATTCTTTTAGACATGTTTCCAGTGTTGTAAATTGTTTAAATTAATGTAGTTTATAATGTCCAATAAAGTTATTTATGAAGCTCTTGCTTTAACTTATAGAACACATCTGGTATGAATTTTCACAATAGTAACACGTACAGCACTGTGTGACTTTTTCTGTTAGCTTTAATCGACAACATAAATACTAGAAATATTTAAATGTTGCTGTCCGACAACACTGACAATGAAGGATCAAGAAACATCCTGATGTTAATCGGTAAATACTTTCACCTGTGGAGGTGGTGACAGTGCTAGAGTTGATCCATCACTTAATCACAGTTTAATATTTATAAATTCTGATCTTAAAAGTGTTGCTACCATCACCAGTCAACAACAGCAGAAAAGAAGTTTCAGGTAAGAAACTGAACCCGTGAATAGTGAAGACAGAGAATAATAAACAAACTCATCAGCAGTTGGTCTGTCATTTCATCAGAGGAAGCTGAAGTGGGAGTGGTTTTCTAGCATCATCATCATCATCACAGCACATTTGAGAACTAAGGATGTCCGTGCAGTCTCCCTTCTCCACAACCAGATGAATGGAAACAAACGGGCTGCTCTGTACATGAGGTCCTCCTTCTGTTGGCACAGATCACTCAGTTTTCACAGTGTGGAAACCTTTCAAATGACAAGAAAACACAAACACTTGAGTTAAGATGCGGTGGATCACAGTTAATCACAAATATCGATCAGCTGTCAGGATAGGTGCATGAATGTCTACTTCAGTTGAGGACTGATTTGAGTATTAAATGAACAATCTTCTATATGACAAATATTTGTCTACACATTTTTTATACGTCACGTAATCTTAACTTGAACTATCATGACGTCTTGATGGGCAATGTATTAATTTACATTAACGCTGCGCATTACACTAACTCAGATCACTTAAACTGGGTCACATGTGGAGAAACACAAACCAAACGTCGTTAGATTAACGTCGATTAAATTCACCTTCCTATTGGGCTTTGACTGAACACCTCCACGGGCTAACCCAGGTTGACACAGGTTATCAGCCCAGCCGGGCCAGGTACCATTAGCATCGCAATCGCTAAGTTATCAGCTAACGCTAGCACTAGCACTAGCTTGGTTAGCAAGGTGCATTTTTAACTGAACTGTGATATTAACAGGGATGCTAATTTAGTCTAGCAAAGAAATAGGCTTAAAACAAAATGTACTTACCGGAAAAAAATTGAACCGCAGACTCCTCTGAGTGTCTTTCAGAACAACTGAACGCAGTTTCAGGCAGACATGTTGGAGCTAACTTTGATGAACTGAAAACACAATAACAAGTCAAATGTCAGACACGTCACTCTGACCTCATATCCGGATTAATAGGCAGGTCCCCCGTGTGCAATCACGCGGTAGCCACGCCCTAAGATCACTCTGCTTTAACGTCTATTACCTTTTTAAATAGGACATTAATTTGAAAAATGAACATCATGTTGTATTGAACAAAAACTTCAAACTAGCGATTCAGACCATAAACACATAATGAAAACGTTTACTGAGGTAACAAATCAAGTGACAGGTTGGGTCATTTTCCCATAGACTTAAATACAATCGGACTTCTTTTTGCAACCAGTGGAGTCACCATGATGGTCATTCGATAGAAAGCAAGTTTAACGAACTTCTGCATTGGCTTCGTTTTCCAGACCCGGAGTTGACGTCCATTTTTTTTATACAGTCTGTGCTCTGGACCAAAAAGCAAGATGTCTCTTCCCTCTTCTTCACCTCTTTCTGTAGTAGTTTGTTCAGGGAATCTCAAATGCAAACATACAATTGCTGCTTTCACTCACCAATTAGCCATTACCCCTGTATGCCCTGACTCCATTGCATCACTGATGACCACATCATTGGGTTACCCTGGAGAGACAAGCGCAATGTCAACATGTGTGCACATGTATACCTACTGTAGTATTTTATATATATATCACAATGAATTATTGTAAGACTAGCATACAAAATTTAAGTAAATTCAAAATTGCCTGAATGTGATGAATCACCAATCATTAAAAAGGTACTATAGCATTTTTTGTGATTAATAATGAGCAGTAGTCTTGCAACACACAAACTAAAAACATGCTGTCAATACAAAAAGACATTTATAAAGCTTTAAAATGCAACATTAAGTCTTGCTCAGTTTGTCATGGAGACCACTAAATGTTAGAAAATCATGTGTAATCTCCATAACAACCAACTAACTAACTGAGCTGCATCATTTAGTAGACCATGAGATGTGGTGGAAAGGTCCAGAAAAAGTCATAGGTGGTACTGAGTTAAGATTTTGTCCAAACACATTAATCTTTCTATGAAATGCTACTTTTCTCTATTTTCTTAATTTCCAAAATGTCTCAATTAACTGCTTTAATGTGTTTCGCTGAAGTGTTCAGTCTTGCACTCAGGGCCGCCATAAGGTCAACGGTCATAGACAAACAGTCGGGACACCACACACAAACAGGTGACATTACCAACACGAGCGTTATTCTCAATATCTAAAACACGCAAACAATTCTTGTATTACTTCCTGAGTCGGCGAACTGAGAACTACTTAAACACATAAATAGAGTCCATACATTTAATCTCCCCACAGACGCTGAAGGAGTCCCCCAGGACGGTGTTACATCGCGCGCAGTGGAGAGTCATCTGTTCCTCGTGTCGTGCCTCTGTGATCAGTTTAAAATCGTCAAAACGCTGCATTAAGAGGCTCTCATCATATTCCATGTTGCTGAAGTTTTACGGAGTCCGGCTAGCTGACTGTCCCGCCTGAGAGTCTGAACTCTGGACCAAGTGGCAAACTGCCGTGACGTCACCCATTGGTTTGTGAACTGCCTCTAGTTTGGCTTAATGGACGTCGCCATCTTTTTTTGGAGCCAGAAGAAACCATATTTGGCTAAGCTATGAAGTATTATTTTTTACATTTCTATTATAATTTTATACTTACTACTAAATAGGATTTATCCACCTCTCTTTATTATGCAAACTTTTATTTTTAATTTGTCAGTTACAGTTGATTGTAAATTGCACACATTATTTAATTCATCCATTTATTACATTCTTTTGTTCACGTCTCCAGTTGATTGTAAATTGTTGAAATTAATACAGTTTTAATGTGAAATAAAGTTTTTTTATGAAGCTTTGCTTTGTTGATGGTTTTTATGGAGTGTGTCTGGTATGAATTTTAACAGTAGCAGCAGCACAGTATAGAAATCACAACACACTGTTTTTCCTGAATTTATAATTAATCAAAGACTTTCTATGTTGCTTTAAGCTTTTCCAAAACTTTTATTTTTGTAAACATCCATTTTGCAGTTTGAGGTATTTCTAACATGCACATCTTGTTGGCTGAATGAAGAATATTATATATTATATGAATATTATATGTTATTTTACATTTCAATTAGTTCTTAGTGATCGTTCAGTGAAGATGTTATTTTAAATCAAGTGGCTCCCCCTCCTGGTAGGCTGTAAATATGTATGACCGATTCAGTGGTGAGGCTGTTAGAAATGAGAAAGTGATGAGTCGTGACAATAATGTAAATAAAGCGATGATTTGTTTAAAGACAAGTCTTAAACTGAAACCATTAACTATCTGTAGCCAGTCTGTGAGACATGAGATATTTTGTTTATGTGTGAACTAATGTGAATTCACTCTACATTATAATGGGCAAAAACTCCGAACAATGCTGTTTGAAGTGATCAAAACACCAACTTCTCCTGCTGACTTCAAAAAACCTAAAATTTCTTAAATATCTAAAATGTAAATATTTAAAAACCAAACTGAAACCCATTTTGCAGTTTTGTTTGTGTATTGTTGGACAATCATAGCACCTTACATATAAAACTTACAAAATTCATTACTGCAAAAATAATTTCAAGTAGTGCTTTCAAACTGAGCCATGGACAACATGCAAATGGTATTTATTCAAAGATAAAATACGCAAAGTCATTTCCCTGAACACGTAGCTTTTATAAAAGGTTCTAACTTCTTTACTTGAAAACTGTAATGGTCTTTAGGTATAGGGACATTTCAGTATTGGAGGTAAAGGTGTGAAGCACTGATGTGGTTCAAATCTGCCAGATCTAAAATCTTTGACCCATCCTCTCCACATATCAGGGTACCAACTAAATCCAGTCATGATATGAGGTTGACAAACGACAGGACACTTCTTCCACAGTGACATTAAAACTGCAGGACCAGTGTCACCTGGTCACAGCAGCCAAGAGTCACACTGTCAAACATGTAGGTTTACTGCTTTTAACATCCAACACAAGACACTGTAGCAGACAGTCGTAATGATTTTTTTCCCAATCATTTTTCAGTTTGATGTAAAAAATTCAACTTTTAATACATCACTATTCTTGTGCAGTTCAAAAGATTACAGTAAGTCAAAAGGAAAATAAGCACCATCTCACATTAGCTGTTGTTACCTAATTTGTTGTTCAAAAAAACTCAGTTCCTTAAAAACTTTTATTATAGTAAATATTGTAACTTCAAGAAAATAACCACAAAACAAGTTTTTTTTTTTTATATAAAAAATGGTTTAACAATTTTTTCAGTATAAAACATTACAGAGTCCCAGGCCAATCAAACAAATTCACTGTCACCATTTGAAATAATCATGAACTCCCCAGTCAAACTTTCTACAATAACATACAAAGGGTTTGTTGTCGTTAAGGGGTTTTCTGTACTTTTTTCTAGTTATGGGAAAATATAACAACACAAAGCCTAACAATCACTCTTCGTTTGCTATAATATTAATAATAAAAAAGAACAAATGTGAACTCCTGGTCCGATCAAAGCCCAAGCCCCGAAACTTCTGGTCAACATGGCATCTATGCAGTCTTCTGCTGGCCTTTCTTCCCAATGAGGGATTTGTGGATGTGGGGAATGACACCTGAAAACAAAAACAAAACTGGTGAGATGAAAAGTTTCACGCAGGCATAGCTGTGACCTGAAATGTGTAGTACAGAATCAGGAAACCACACAGAATGAGCAAAATAATGCTTATACAATCTGGACAAAAAAGTTAGATAAAAGATGGAAAATATAAACAATCCATCTGTTAACAAAACTCTCAGCTCACCTCCTCCAGCGATTGTTGCCTTGATAAGGGAGTCCAACTCCTCGTCACCACGGATGGCCAGCTGCAAGTGACGGGGAGTGATACGCTTCACCTTCAAGTCTTTGGAGGCATTACCCGCCAACTCTAGTACCTGAAAACAAAAATGACCATGAATACACATTAATGCAAAAAGCAACATCCCACAAAGAAACACTGCATGATGTGATATCTACTGCTACCGCTGACCACATATGTGCACAAAAAATGGAAGGCTTACTTCAGCAGTGAGGTACTCAAGGATAGCAGCACTGTACACAGCTGCTGTGGCTCCTACACGACCGTGGCTGGTTGTGCGAGTCTTCAAGTGCCTGTGGATACGACCCACTGGGAACTGACAGGAAACAGACACAAGACAGTGGTTGAAGTAAAACAAAGGGAAAAACTATCTGTCATCAAGGAGCATGGTACATAAGCCACAAACTGCCACATGAGGATAAAAAATCTTACCTGCAGACCAGCCCTCTGGGAGCGCGACACTGCTTTTGCCTTGGCTTTGCCACTGTCTTTTCCTGCCTTGCCACCAGCCTGTTGTAAAAGAAAGTTACAACAGGAAACCATTAAGAGCATGAAATCAGATAAGTAACAGAAGCAAAACCAAGGCACAGATGTGTGAGGTTATGGTGTTTGGATTTGAGCAGGAATATAACACAAACTAAGCACAACAGCTTTTTAGAATGTCAAATTCGCGGACAAAGATGCTAACAAAACCAAGTAATAGCGCATGAGGTGGAATCATTTCAAAAAAGGTAATTCAACAAATCAGAAGGACGATATTAAACGCACCGCATTAGCGGTTCTACGGGTAACGTTACAGATGCCCGGCTAAACTGTTATGCTTTCCCGCCAATCCAGCATAAAACATAACAAATCGAAGGCGGCAACAATACCGGTTGCCAGATATCACATGCATAGAGTAACAATTAATTGACTAAGTAGACCAAGCTAATACCCTGCCATTCTGACAAAAACATGAGACGCTGTCAGTGGACTGATGCCTCCGACCCCGCGGCAAATAGAAAACAGACGCGGCGCTTTAAGACGGTCAGCTTTTAAGTTTTCATTCACGAATTTCAACAGGAAAAAAGTTCACCTCACGAATTCACCAAGGTGCACAGAAATCACCCTCTCGGGTTTACTCCGCTCTCCTTGATTACAGACCAATTATCAAAGACTTATGATCTACTAACCGACCGTTAAGCCAATGAAATAGCTAAACTTAGCTTGCTAATGGTTGCTAATCCACATTTCAGAGGCAACACCGCGTCAAATAACACTTTTATATGAATCAGAGTTTATATTTCTAGTGATGCACTCCACTTCTGTAAAAGACGAACCATCCGAACAACTCGTCGCATAAAAATATTAAGTTATCTTTGACTGGAAAGCAACAAAACTCGGACTTCTCACGCTAATGTTAATGCTAACCTGTTAGCTGACAGTTAGCGCTTTAGCGAGCTTTTTAACCACACAGCTTCTGGTCGAATTTCCTCAGTTCAAATTCAAAACAGCACTTTCTACAGTTGCACAATAATTACAATACAAATGCAACGACATCCCCGATAATGCATTTAGCATCAGCCGAAGCCAACGTACCATTTTTCCTTGTCGTTATTTGATTGTAGAAGTGAGTAGATAGCAAACAATTTCGGCTCCCGAAAGCAAAGAAACAATAAACCCTTTCGCAAATCTTTTGCATGCGACCCCTC